GGGGATGCGGAGAAAGGGGAACCCTCCTACACTGTTGGTGGGAATGCAAGCTGGTGCAGCCACTCTGGAAAACAGGATGGAGGTTCCTCAAAAATTTGAAAATAGAGCTACCATACGACCCAGCAATTGCACTGCTGGGTATATACCCCAAAAATACAAATGTAGTGATCCGAAGGGGCACCTGCACCCCAATGTTTATAGCAGCAATGTCCACAATAACCAAACTATGGAAAGAGCCTACATGTCCATCAGGAGATGAATGGATAAAGAAGAAGTGGTATATATATACAATGGAATATTATGCAGCTATTAAAAGGAACGAAATTTTGCCATTTGCAATGATGTGGATGGAACTAGAGGGTATTATGCTAAGCGAAATAAGTCAATCAGAGAAAGACATGTATCATATGACCTCACTGATATGAGGAATTCTTAATCTCAGTAAACAACTGAGGGTTGCTGGAGTTGTGGGGGGTCGGAGGGATGCGGTGGCTGGGTGATAGACACTGGGGAGGGTATGTGCTATGGTGAGCACCGTGAATTGTGTAAGACTGATGAATCGCAGACCTGTACCTCTGAAACAAATAATACATTACGTGTTAAAAAAAAAAAAAAAGAAGAAGATAGTAGGAAGGGAAAAATGAAGGGGGGGAAATCGGAGGGGGAGAAGAACCATGAGAGGCTATGGACTCTGAGAGACAAACTGAGGGTTCTAGAGGGGAGGGGGGCAGGGGGATGGGTTAGCCTGGTGATGGGTATTAAAGAGGGCACGTATTGAATGGAGCACTGGGTGTTATACGCAAACAATGAGTCATGGAACACTACATCAAAAAGTAATGATGTAATGTATGGTGATTAACATAACATAATAAAATAAAATTAAAAAAAATATTGTGATAAACTCAAATCCAGCAATAAAATGTTAGACAGCAAAGAACCTGAGCTTCACTGTGATCACTTTTGTATCAGAATACGAGTATGTAAAATGGAGGGTATCGATAATCGCATTTCTGAAAGGTTGAGCTGAAGGGAAAAAAAACCTGATTCATTCATGAAAGGTAACCCTATTTCAGTTTTAACAACAAATTACCACACAGTCTTAGGAAGCTGTCCAGGCTTCTCCTATCTTTGTATTCTCTGTTAGGCAAGGATGATGGTAAACAACACGATTAGTTTTCTCACTGTGGCCAGAGGAATTACTTTGAGAAAAGTGCATTGTGGTCATATTTGTGTTCTCTCACTTGAGTGTGAGCCCTGTTTGGCTCAGTGTGCTATTTATAATGCATGGAGCTCTCAAACCCTGAGGAAAAGAATCGGTGAAATGCTATTTTTTTTTAATTGATTTCCCATCAAAGCTCTAGGCCTAGTCGCTGAGTATGGTGCTTATGCCAAGTTTCAACAGGTGAAACGTGCTTTACTACCAAAACCAAAAATGATTCAGAAGAAAGTCATGGGCGAACCATGAGAGACGATGGACTCTGAAAAACAAACTGAGGGTTCTAGAGGGGAGGAGGGTGGGGGGATGGGTTAGCCTGGTGATGGGTATTAAAGAGGGCACATTCTACGTGGAGCACTGAGTGTTATGCACAAACAATGAATCATGGAACACTACATCAAAAACTAATGATGTAATGTATGGTGATTAACATAACAATAAAAAATTTTTAAAAAAAGAAGAAAGTCATGGGGTGACGGGAAAGATCCTGTTTCATTAGATTACCTGTACCACTAAATTAAGCCTTTAATATCGTAATCAATCTTATAAGCACAATACAAGAACATGTACACTGAATGTGAGGTTTAATCCCTTTTTAATTTTAAGGGCTGTGGCCAAAACCCAATTAATTTCTGCTATGTGAAACAAGCCTGAATGCTGACATTTAAAGTCATCTTCACAGCTGACTATGGAAGAATATCCATAGTTATTTCATATATGATCATGTAGCAAGGAAGTCAGTCTATATTGATTGTATGGACTGAGCCCAACATCTGAGGTAGGCATTATATTAAAAATATGTATAGGAATAGCAGTGATTTAGAAGATATAGTCAAAGCCTTTCAGAGCTCTGCACACTATTACTATTATTGAGCGGTGAGGGAGGATGCTTTTCTTTATGAGACAATTCATTAACTTAAAATAAGTTAATAACTTAAAATAAAATAAGCAGTATTTACTTTTCATCCTTTTTATCAGAGAAGAAATTTTTAGGAGCACCTGGGTGGCTCAGTCAGTTAAGCATTTGCCTTCGGCCCAGGCCATGATCCCAAGGTCCTGGGATCGAGCCCTGCGTCACAGCATCAGGCTGCTTCTCCCTCTGCCTCTGCCACTCCCCCCTGCTTGTGCTCTCTCTCTCTCTCTCTCTGTCAAATAAATAAAATCTTAAAAAAAAATTTTTTGCCTGAAAAAAAATTTTATAATTTAATTTAATTCAATACATATTTATACATGACACAAAGCTAGGTTCAGGGAAGTTATAAAGAGGATTAGTAAGACTGGATCCTTCCTGTGTTAAGCAAATTTACTGTAAAGTGTCAGAGACATGCATTCACCTACTATACTTCAGTCTGTGATGTGTGGAGAGCCAAACTAGACCAGGGAAGAGGATCCAATCCCTGACTGTACCTCATTATTATGCCCTAAGGTCAGGTTTCCTGAGACCCTTAAGAAATTGGCATACTGCGGTTTCCTGGGGCTGAGGAAGGGAGAAGGGAACTGGGAGTTAGTGTTCGATGGGTATAGAATTTCAGTCATGTGGGATGAACAAGTTCTAGACATCTGGTATACTACCTTGTGCGTTAGAGTCAACAATACTGAACTGTATATTTTAAAATGTGTTAAGAGGATACATCTCCTGTTGTCTGTTTTTTACCACAATACATAAAAAAGGAATAAAAGAAATTGTCAGATGACCTTGCACAACCTTTATATTTGAGTGATCGAGGAGATGGGGAAAAGAGCCTGTTGTGTTCACATTTTTTTAAGGAAATGACTTGATCATTATAAGCCAGAGCTTAAAAGCAATACCCAATGAGAACAGTTCCTCATGCAATCAATAAGCAACTTAACAGAATATCATGAGAGATAAAGGAGCAGCCACATTTGACTTTTTGAATAGCCATTTTTTCCACATCAATTTAGTTTCCTCCCATGGTTATGTAACAGATTATATAAACAATGAGAATGTACTGAGTAAAATCAGTTTTGTATGGGGAAGATATTCTTATCACCAAGCCATGAAAGTGTGATCTTAATCATGCTACTGTTACATGGGTGAACAAGTAAATATAGAGTTGCAATTACATCAAAATGGGTTGAAGCATGGATTACATATCAAGTTCCAGCCCATGGGGATCAGTTGTACTGTAGGACCTATAACTTATTGATGAACTATACAAATGACTTATAAATGAGTTCATCCAAAATGCAGAAATCTCTAAATCAAGTGGAGCTACTGATACTTTATACCAGGAAACTCATGACAAAACAATTAGAATGCCCTTGGACATATTTTTTAAGTCATTCTAAAGGCAGAACCGCATTTAATTGACATATGTATAAACTGTATATTTTAGCACAAATGAAATTTAGTGAAGGACTGGTTAAAAAGGCAATGCCAATAGGACCTTTGTCACAATTAAGATTAGAAAATGAATATCATAAATGAATTACACTGATAGCAGGTTATTTAAAAGGCACAGGATAGCAAACAGAATTACTCCTTTCACTGCTTAAGCCTCACCATTTTTAAGTACTTGCTCAAGTTTTTATCAACATACTTTGAAAGGGATATTTTAAAAAAGACAGCATACAGAGAGCAAAACATTACATATACATGTATTTAATATAGGATATATATTAATATATAGTTTGGCCTGTAATATATATAATATATAAATATATGGTTTGGCATGTAATATATTATTTAATATTTACATAAAATTATATATTATATAACATATCAAAATTATATATTATATAAAATGTGATATGGCATACAGTATATAATATGTATCATATATTATATATGTGTAATGTGTTATTTAAGGGAAGAATTGGAACTATGTAATCTAGAAAGCGGAAATCTAAAGAGTCATATAAGTTGCATCTTGCAGCTCCCTGGAATTGTTTTCCGAATCAGTTGAGGCTCTCCTCTCCCCATAGATGACTAAGCCAGAAGGAATTTATTATGTTACATTTAGCAACTTCATCTGGCAGAAAGAGATCCTTCTTGATTATCAGGATGAAGAATCATTGGCTCAAGGAAAACTCAAAGGTTTCTTTCTCAGGGCTCTTTACTACAGAATAAACGAACATTAGTTCTGGATGATTTAATATCCATGGGATCACTTCCCTCAAAGAGCCTTTTTTCTTTCATCCTCGATTTTAGTTCATTTACTCTTCCAAGCTTCACGGATCAAGGTATCCAACAGTGAGCCATGGGTACTCCACGCCAGAAGATGCACATCGCATGCATGAACAAAATATCAATTTTGTTCAAAGAGGTCTGTCCCAAGGACTCAAAGAATCTAAGCAGAAAATATAATTGGATATAAACAAAGATTTACACAAAAAAATTCTAAGCAGGAAATATAATTGGATATTAGCATACCGACACATAATGAAGTAGAATGCAAAGAATCCAGGGAAATTTTCTTCCCTTCCGTGGACATAGTCCAGCTCCACCTACCCCCGCCCCCCCCAGTCTCCAGCTCCATTTCGCTGAAGCAGGGGAAACAGGCACAAGACTCAATCTTTTCTGTGGCAAAGTCTGAAGGTAATGCCCTGTTTCCTGATAAGTGACACCAAGCCTGTCACCTCTTCAGTTGCCCAGAAACGCAGGGGTGAAATATTCTATTTCATGACCCTTCGCCCCCACACTTCATGATTTTCTTTGCTAGAAATAAAATACTAGAGGCATTGAGACATCTTTATGTAGAAAGATTTTAAATATATTTGGAGATAATGGTCATATATGAATCCCCTTTCTCTTCTTTTCCAGGATGGGAGCCAGTAAATTACCTGCAGCCTGTACCCAGAATCAGTGAGTCAACTTTACTTATGTTTGAATCTCGGGTAACTATAGATAAGCAGAGCAACAACCAGAATATCTGAAAACCCCATCGTGTCACTTTTAAACGCCTGTTCTTAGAGTCACAATTTATAACTGTCACCAGAAAGCAAAGCCGAGGTGCCATTGTTGGGGTGTATCGTCCTGGAAGGTAGGGAAGAGAAGCAAGCAAACCATCATCCTTGCCCCAAGGAATTTACAAAGGAAACCAAAGACTTTGAAGATAGATTTCAGTTTTATCTAGCTTAATGAATAATTAATGTTCATCTTATTTGAAAAAGTTTACATTTTCCCTGTTTTTATTTTTAAAGCATCTTACACTTCCCTGGGACATTGGACTGTATTTCCCAGAAATGCGTTCCTTTATGAATATAATAAAGCCTCATTAATTCCAATATTGCTAATACACAGTTTTTGACCATTTGACCCAGACTAAGGTGAAATTTACCTTCAAATTGTCTGCAAGAAATGAATTTGATAAGAGAAATAAAAGGAACACCTCTAACTTATTTAAAGAGAATAACTGTTTTCATGGCTTTCGCGTATACAGTGGTCTTTAGGCAAAAAGATTCAACTGTAAAGTAAGGATCCATGTCATTAAGTAGATGTCTCCTTAGACAGACTTTATTGGCAGGTTATAGTATTGAAAGTAATAAAACTGCATTGCTTTCAATAAATTCTGACTTCCATAATTCAAGCTAGCTTCTCCCTTTTCCTCCCTACCTCCCCAAACTCATTATTCCAATCTAATGAAGTTTACTATTGCATTATATGTGAATATAGCATTTATTAATAGAAGATAAATTCCTATTACCTTACTTTTTAAACCTACAAATATAATTTTTTAATTTTTTTGGATGCTTATTTGCAACATTGATCACCTGGATGACAGAAGTATATTTACTTTTACAAGAAAAATGATCTATCATTCCCTTTCCTTTTCCATGACTTCATCACAGCAGGTCATTTTTTTTTTAATGTAAAACCCAAAATTTCATAAAGCAGGGAAGACAAATGCTCAGGATAATAATGGAGATTTAAAATGAGGGGAAAAAAGCCTGAAATCAGATCATGCCCCCCTTGAGGCATGTTGAAAAATTGGAGTAGTAACTGGATCACTATTCATCCATCCATCCATACTTCCATTCAACAAACGTTTAGTCAAGGGTCATGCTTATTGCTTCAAGGTGTGTAGAGATAAATAAAATTCTCTTCTTGTCTCCATTGTGCTGACACCCATAAGCTGAAACAGAGATGAAGACAAATAATTTTCTCATGTGATTAAGTGATGTGTTTTCCTTGTCAGCAAAGTACTTTGGAACACAGAGAATATACCATTAAATCTGATTGGAGTAATTGGGGAAATAGTCATAACAGGTACAACATTTGAGCTCATTCTTGAAGAATGAATAGAATTCCTGCAAGTGGAGAGGACAACATTTCAAATCAATGTAAGCAGAAGTATGGAGATAAGGAAGCTCATGGAGTGCTCAGAAAAACAGGACAGACATAATGAGTTGCAGAGAGTTTGAGGAGTGGGAGAGCAGTATATGGAACATATACAGTATGTTGTTAAGAAAATGTGCCCTTACTCGGTGATTAGAAACAGCAGTTGAGGTGAGAGAAAGATTTAAGACTTGAAAGTGAAGAAATGGAACAAGATAAGGCTATTCATGAACAATTGAGAGAACTTTTAAGAACATAGAATAGAGGGGCGCCTGGGTGGCTCAGTCGGTTAAGCGTCTGCCTTCGGCTCAGGTCATGATCCCAGGGTCCTGGGATCGAGTCCCGCATCGGGCTCCCTGCTCAGCGGGAAGCCTGCTTCTCCCTCTCCCTCTGCCTGCCGCTCCCCCTGCTTGTGCTCGCTCTCTCGCTCTCTCTCTCTCTCAATCTCACTCCCTCACTCTCTCAAATAAATTTTTAAAATCTTAAAAAAAAAAAGAACATAGAATAGAATCAACTTCTCCCTGAGATAGGAGAAGAGGGGTAAAAAGAAAAAAAAATGAATATGAAGTGAAATGTAATGAAATTCTAGAAAGTTTATGTCTGGGAGCTTCCATTTCTTTCTATACAGTTAGATAAAGCATGAGATGTCAAACAGAAGGACGCAAGTTTGCTTCCTAGCTCAGCTGGAGTAACCAACATGGGCAGGTCACATAGCCTATCTACATTTCTGTGTTATCTCCGAAAAAACAGAAGCAATAATAACATTTAATTCCTAGTTTGGAGAACTCTATAGTGTACGTGAAAGCAGGGGCGCCTCGGTGGCTCAGTCATTAAGCGTCTGCCTTCGGCTCAGGTCATGATCCCGGGGTCCTGGGATCGAGCCCCGCATCAGGCTCCCTGCTCCGCGGGGAGCCTGCTTCTCCCTCTCCCACTCCCCCTGCTTGTGTTCCCTCTCTCGCTGTGTCTCTCTCTGTCAAATAAATAAAATTTTAAAAAAATGTACATGAAAGCATGTTCTAAACAGTAGAGCACTCTATATTGAGAAGCAGCCTGACAGAGTAGCCAGAGCACATGCTGAGTGACCTCACTGAATTCTTGTCTGTAGAAAGTGGGGAAATAGTCATAACAGGTACAACATTTGAGCTCATTCTTGAAGAATGAATAGAATTCCTGCAAGTGGAGAGGACAACATACGTAGCTTTTATGAGTTACTGAGATTACTAAAGATAAGGTTTGCACAACGTATGCACATGAAGGTGCTCTACCGATGGAGGCTGCTGGATGGTTCTCATCTGTGAAGAGGAGCTTGTCCCCTGGGAAAGAGAAGAAAAATGCAAAGGGAATTGAAAACAAGAAGGGGCCATGTAAAAATGTTTTTCAGCAGAATTAAAAGCCCATTCTGAAAACATGACTTGGCATGTATAGTTATACCAATGAGCTCCAGAGCAACCAAAACAGGTGACTTGATGGGCTAGAGTTGGGGAAGATCAAGGCGGGTACTGTGCGAGGGAGGGAACAATTGGAAACGTTGGTCAGTGCAGATCCCCGAAGCTTCCAGTCCTCCTTCTGCAAGACCTGTACTCCAGCCTCCATGCTGAGTTAGGAGAATACTGCCCTTTCTATTCAGTGTCCGCTGCCTGTGGTCCTGAGGCTCTTGGCATTACCAGGTAACGAGTGAGTTGCCTAACTACGCCAAGGTCAAATAGCCCCCCTTCGGCCAAGCTCCAGCCCTGGGCTACTTGGTTCTCAGTCTCCCCCAGCCTGTACCCAGTTTCCGCTTCCGCTTGAGTTTTAGTTTTTCCCTAGCATATACAGCAGTGAAAAAGTTTTCTGTCTCCTCTGGAATAAAAAAACTGGAGTTGGAACCAAGTAAAAAGGATCCAGGCTGCATGCCCTTGGTCCTTCGTGCCATCAGCACCCATTCGAGACCTCAGTACGGAATTCACTGGCTACAGCAGGGCAGGACCACACTCTCCCTCCCACACCTGGAGGTGGGTTATCTCACTGGCCACTAGGATAATGTCCGGTGTCCTCCTAAAATGTTTAGTGAGCCTTGGGGACCCCAGGACAAAGCTGCCAAAATCTATCATGATAGCTACTAAACTTACCTCAGAGGGCGATTTGAATTGCTAGACCGTGTCCTCAATTTGCCAAATGGCAGTAATAAAGAAAATATAGGCTATATTGTGCACGTTATTGACTCCTATTTTAATTAATGTAAGACACATTCCTCATTTGGGAGCATGGTTGATTCATTCACTCCGTAATTATTCATTAAGGATATATTAAATTCAAGGTACTACTATCCAAGATCTTTGAAGATGATGAATATAAGCATCTTCCAGGGGTAACATTTGAAACATAAGGAAAACCCTATCAAATTCAGACAAAATTCTAGGTTTCCGTGAATGGACAACTGCAGAGACTCATCAGGGATTGGAAAACCCCAGAGATTTTTCTTCTCTCTCCTCAGGCTTGGTTCCCAAAGTCCACTCTGCTGTGAGTACCAACAGGGATCACAGAAAATTCACCTCTAAGTACTTGGCTTCCTATATAACTCCCTTCAGGCAGCTGTGGTAATCTGTGAATGTGTAGATTGTTCCAAAACATACGACATCCTCCCTCCCCACACGTCCTTCCCTAAGTGTCAGGAGCCATGCTGAAGTGCAGCCCATCTCTGCCTTCCCCAGATTAGGGAGCGCCATGTGATGCTTCTGCTGACTCGGCATCAGACTGGGTTCTCCCACGTTGCATCAGCCCTTTCTTGAATGTGCTTTCATTGCCTGGTGCCCTCTGCAACCGTCATTTCATTCCTGCCTGGTTTGTGTGCAGTCTTCATTCTAGATCTGCTAGAGGAAGTGACTCACCTCTCATTAAAAACAGACACAGACATTTTTCTCTCCATTTCATTGCTTTAGCCCCAGGTACACCTTCCTTCTGTCTCCTTTTGTAATCAGCATGTCTCCCGTTTCTAGGTTCTTTATGTATTTTCCTCTACACACCTCATCTCTACCCTTTATGTATCTCAGAGTTTAGTGAACCTTGAATGGAATGTTTTTGACTTATTTGCCCCTTAGTTGGAAGAACACAGCCTCATGTCAGCTTCGTGGCAAACTCAAAATTAGGAGTATGTGTGCGGCAGCATTTCATTTACATATTTTTCTCGGTGTTCTTTAAGAATCCTTTGCTGTGTTGGGGCGCCTGGGTGGCTCAGATGGTTGAGCGTCTGCCTTCGGCTCAGGTCATGATCCCAGGGTCCTGGGATCGAGTCCCGCATCGGGCTCCCTGCTCTGTGGGAGCCTGCTTCTCCCTCTGCTTCTCTCCCTCTCTCTCTCTCCCTCTGTCTCTCATGAATAAATAAATAAAATCTTAAAAAAAAAAATCCTTTGCTGTGTAGTGAAATGATGTTCCCTGTGGGACAATCCCAGCAATCCCTGCAAGCGAGAATATAGTCCAGATTCTAACATCACAGACTTGGGGACCTTGATAAAATGTTCAAGGCAGAGTCTAGAACTTGAATCCTCTTG